TGCTCAGTCATAGTAATCTTTAAATCCTTCAAAAGCAGAGAAGATGGGAAAACAAACATGAAACAAAAAAAAAATAATTTTCTATTGTGGTGGTTTAAAGTTACAAAACTAAATATGACTTCTTTACTTTTGGCTCCTTCAAACTTTCTATGTCATCTCACTCAACCTGCAACATCCCTGTATATCAGCTTTCCTAACTGAAAAATGGAAAATATGATTTAAAATCACAGCCCCACAGTGCACTGGAAATATAAATGCATTAGTATCTGTGAAGTATTTGGAAGACATTGCTGAGTTGAAGGTATTATTTCAGAAAGAAGCAAAATGATTTCACAATTTTAATATAAACCTGCCTTTGCTAATTCTGTTTTTTGCTTTTATGACATTTCTCCTCTTCTGTAGGTAAAGGATCTTTTGTACTAAATCCATTTAAATGATTGTCCCCTGCATATCAATCCTAACCCAGCAATGAATTATTGTATCTTAGAAAATAATGCTAAATGGCAGAATCCCAGCAATCAGGACAGATTTACTTCACACTTACTGTGCAGTCATTACAATGACCTTGCATTTAAACTATCTTGCATTTTAGGAACAAAAAAAAAAAAAGAAAAAAAATTAAAAAAATTAGCAAGAGACCTCAGACTGAAAAAAAACCTAGAAAGGCTTTCAAAATTAAGTCTGAGTTCAGTAACTCTGGGAATGAACTTCTCCTGTCAGCCTTTGTGAATAAGTTTTTCAAGTCTCTCAGATACTAAAAGAGTTCCTCCTTCCATTACCGCTCTCTGGGGTGCCCCCATATGGGCCATGCCCAGGTTTATCCTACTAGAGAGCTTACTCTGACTCACTCCCAGTTTGTGCTCCCAGAGGCAGACACAGGCTGGGGCTGTCCCCAGAGCCCCAGCGAGGCTCCTGCCCATTTCCTCCCCAAAGGACAGAGCTCTGCACAGCCTCAGCACCATGGAGAAGGTGTGTGACAGCATTGGGGGAAGCCTGTCCCAGCTCTCCTCCTGCAAGAACTGCCATGGACAGGGGTGCTTCCTGCACCTCCCTGCATTCCTGCCATGGGAAAGATGTTTTTGGCCCTCGCTCCTGGCTCAGGGCAGGGTGCAGAGCTTGGAGCACCATGGCAAGAGGTCTGATGGACCAGAGTGGCTAAGAGCACCATCTGCCACTGGCTGGCACAATAAATAGCCACTGCCTCGGGGCTGGCAGTCTGGAATATGCTTCCAGCTAGTACCTAAAGCTTCTCTCCTGCCTGGAGAATTGCAAATCCTAAAAAGGCTACGTTTTAACTTATGTCTCTTAATGAACTTGGCTGTGATTCCTTTCAACCTCCAAAGTTCTTCCCTGCACCTATTTCAGGGGTGAATGAAGAGCCCAATCCCTTCAATGGGACTCCTCCTCCTACCGATTTTGGTTCCAAAGTACTCAAGCTTTGCCTGCATGATTTGAGTTCTATTTTAAAGGTTCAGGCAATCTTAAGAACAACCTCAGCTATTTTAAACTACGTTAATTTGATCATACTAACCTACAGTTTGCAGGCTCAAAATTCAACATCCACAGATAATGATGACTCACACTACTCATTTCTTCCTAGATTTTTTTTGTCCTTTTTTTTTGGAAAACAAACCATCTCACAGCCTTCTGTATTACCATCTTGGCAGTTATGATTTATACAACCAGACATCACAGACTTTCGGAGATGGATGATCAACCAGGGGGTTGGATGACCAAACCAATTCCATTGGGGAATCTAAATTGGTTAGACTCATTGTTTATTATTCGATTTTCCCCTTAGGTCACAAACAGTCTGCTAGGGAACTGTAAATGAAGGTACACGCTGGCCTTGAGACAAAACCACCCACATTAAGTAAATTTAAATCAGTGCTTCCTCCAGGAAACAAAGAGTTGTATTACTTACAAGCAGATTTGATTACGGTTCAGAGAACTGTTTAAACACATCTAGCACATCAAAGGAAAACAGATTTAAGCTGCCGTGCTCATTGTTTAAGAAATACTGGTTGATTGATGCAAAGATCAACACGCTTGATGACTCCCTGTAACAGTTTTTATGGAAAACACAGGCCATTATAAAGATGGAAACATCCAGTTTCATCAAAAAAATCTTCAGATTTTAGATTTTGAATTAAGAGTAAGATATTTTAAAAATCCAAGATGTCTTTATGCACATTTGTGGACAAGCATCCAGTCAACATGCAGATTCATTCAGCAGCATGCAAACAGCCTAGCAAAGAAAGGGTTAAGACAAGAGAACATTCTCAAAGCAATTCCAATAATCCCTCTCGATCGTTCTGTATGCGAGAAGTATTCTATCTGGGAAGCTGGACTGGTATCAGTTTAGAAGTTGCTGCTGATCTGACACAAGCCAAAGGAACCAGCAAACTGCAAGGAGAAAGTTGCTAGATAAAAGAAAAACCCAAGAAACCCCACAACACTCAGAGCAGAAGGTCCATGTTAAGAATCATTTGGATCTCCTTTATTTTGCAGAAACAATTATTTCACTTTTAATTTCTAAGGGGCTTTGGGGGGAAAGGATGAAGGAAATATAGTTCATTCTGGCAGAGCACACATTGCACAAAATAGATTTAAGAATCTATTTTTGGGCTAGAATATTTGAAGAAATCCCTGATTAGCGTCTTAATGGGGTGAGTCCAATTTATTGAGAATGATCACCAGAGGGAGTCATTGACTTTCCCATTAAAGTCAAAGGGAATTTTACATACATCAGGAATGCAGAATTTGGGGGCAGAGCTGAAAAAGACTTCAAACAGATTGGAGTTCAGGGAACAACACAAACCACGGTTTTATGGATTTCATCTGAATCCATTTTCCCCTTTGGAGTCCCAAAGGATGACAGCTATATTCAGTGGTTAAAATTAGACAGAAGGCACTGAAATCACTCATTCAGTGGGTACACACTCCCACAACAACAACAGGGGGAAAAAAAAACCCAACGAAAAAGCCCAAAAACACAAGCAAAAAAGAAACCCCAAGAAACCACCCACCCACCCATCACCTCAAAAAAATCCCAACAACAAAAAATATCTCCTAAGCACTAAATTGGTTCTACAGGAGTTTGGAGTGGTGTAAGTAATAACTGCTCTGTTTTCTCTTTGGACATGTAACATATCAGTCCTTCTGGAAATGCAGAATTCAACAGCACAAAGGAAATCTCCAAGTGTCATTTATGAGAGTATGTCATACCTCTTGGGAATATCAGTAAAAGAAAGGAGTGAAATGGAGTCAGAAAGAATTGTTAGCATAGGATTTTTTTGTTTGTTTTTGTTTGGTTTTTTTGGGGTTTTTTTGTCTTCAATGCTAGTGACTGAAAGAGGTAGAGAGTATAGGGATTTGTGAACAGTGACTAAATGAACTAATTAGACAAACCGGTGAATTCAGCCACAAGCAAGTGTGCATTTTATGCTCAAACACCTAAATTTCACAACCTTCAAGAAATATTTCATGTTAAAAACTTGTCTTTTCTTGGTGGACTTCAGCTGAGCATTATGCTTGCCACAGGAGCCCAGGAGACTTTGGTTTGAAAACAAGCTCATTCACTCAGCAACTTTCTCCTTAATTCTGTACAAGATTATATAGCAGAAAATTAGTTTTAAAAAGGGCAAGGCAACAGCCCCACCCAACCAAATGCAATTTCACTTCCCTAGAAATGTCCTCTGAACAAATGGAATTTAATTTGTTTCCGTGTTCCCAGGTAATGGCAGCACCTTGTTTTGTTTGTTTATTTAATTACTTCTTGTTCATGTAATTAGCTGACAGACTGCAGCCTTTTGTTCATTATAATACAGTTATTTGCATAGCTGTTTCCATTTTGAGGCTGAATTTTGGACAGAGGCTCTATTTTGGGTTGTGGCAGGCAGAGACACTGCTGGGAAGCCTCATGCAGGGAAGCATGCAGCAACCTGCTCCTTCGTGGAATGAGTTGCTCCAGGAACTGGCCTGGCTGCCCATCTGCTTCTGACAGCAAATCAAAGCCCTGTTTCCAGCATGCAGCATAAGACCTGGCTCTTTTTCATCGTCATAGGTATCACTGAAAACCAGTTGAGCTCATTCTAAACACCAACAGACTGTCCATGCATAATTTACTGCACTTTAGATTGAATGTTAGGATAAATTTCTTCACTGAAGGGGTGGTCAGGCATTGGAATGAGCTGTCCAGGTAAGTGGTTCAATCATCACCCCTGGAACTGTTCAAAAAACATGTAGGTGTGGCTCTTTGGGACATGGTTTAGTGGTGGACGTGGCAGAGCTGAGTTAAAGGTAGAAGACCTTAAGGGTCTTTTCCACCCTACATTGTTCTATGGTTCTGTGGCATCACTCAGTGTATGCTTAATTTAAAATTATCAGTACTCTTTCAGTGGTTGGGTGAAAAAAATTTAGAGACGAAGGCTACTTTAGGCTTTCTTTCATGAACAGTTTGATTTAATATCCAGTTGAGTCTATTGTTGTTCAAATAATTTTTTGCAGAGTTAATTTTTTTTTTTTTAAATAATCAAAATATATTCCCAGATCACAGTTTTGCAGAATGCTGACCCTTCCCATTAATAAATGCAGCAATCATCACCCTTCAAGTCCTCTGAATTTCCAGCGGTGAACTGATGCAAGCTTAGTTTTATTATCTAGGTTGCTCAGAATTTCAGGAATCTGCACCTAATTACGAAAACGAGGGGCAGAGTTGGTGCTGGGGGGAGACTGCGCACTCTGGTGCACAGAAGCCACCTTCACCTCATCCTCCATGCATCTTAACACTCACAAACCTCTACCTCTGAGGAGAAATTATGCACCAACACATCAATTTACACTATTTTGAAATATAAAGAGTTGGAAGAGACAGCTTGGAAAAATTGTCAACCTTTACCACTCAGCCTTCACGTACAACCCACTGCTCTGGTCAGGATTACCCCAGTAACCAAAAGCAGTAAGGCCCAGCCTTTTAACGGCACCGGTTTTAGTCCTACCTGTGCCATCTGCCTCTCCAGCTTTGAGCGGGGAATGTCATCAAAATAGTTTTCATTTCTTCTTCTCCTTGCATCGCCCTGCATGATAATGTGGGGAACGTCCAGGGAGCCACCAGTAGTGAAAGTGCTTTGGCTAAGTGATGGAGACAACTGAGGAGGAGTGTGGTTACCACTGGGTTCCTGGACAGAGAAAGAAAAATGCAGCATAAGAAGGACAGCATGTTGCTGACTACAAATCACACATTTAAAAGTGCATTTGAATTGCTCACACTAAAAAAATTATGGAACAATTCCTTCAGTGGAGGTCATTGTGCATGAACTTTTGAGATTTGCTACCTGAAGTGCAGAGCCCATGTAGGAGGAAAAATAGTTCACAGATTACATGGCCTAGTGGCATATTTCCTCCCCAAAACCTCCTTGTGGAATATATACTCTCTTCTAGAGATAAAACAGTGAGCTACTTCTTGTCAAGGCCCAAATAAAGCTATGATTTAGGATTAGCTATTTGTTAGATGAAATACATTCTCACCACTTCTGAGCAGCTGCTCTGAGCAGTGAAAATGATTTGAACACTAGCAACACCTCTTGCTGGAAAAAAGAAATGTGTGTCCATTTACACAGTATAGACATTTTGTTGCAATTTTTATAGCAGGTTTTGCAGAACATCCATTTTAACTTGAAGTACCAGATATCAGACACAAGCTAAATACCAATTCTTGGAATGCATGAAAGCATCAGAGTACAAATATTTCACCTGGCTTTCCTTGTTTCCTCTACTGAACTGTAACCTTGCATCAGTCAGTGTGCAAATACATAATACATGTGTGATACACAAACACCACCTAATAACCAAGAGGTCCTCCGGGTATACATTTTAGCAGGATCTGCCACCACACTGGCCACAGCCAGACATGGTGAGCATGTTTGGAAACACCGGCTCCCACACGCACGGCATCACTCGTTCAAGCAGCAGCTACAAACGTCGGTGTCCGGGTGCACCGCTGCACACTCCCCTGGAGCCCCATCAGCAGGAGCAGAGTGCTGTGCAGTGAGCAGGAGAACACTGTCACAGCAAATGGGTGGGAAATGTTCCTCCTGTGATGCAGGCTCCTGAGCAGAAGGCAGCCAGGAGCACGTCTGCTCAGAGCAGGCCTTCTCTAAACCACCTGCTGCTGCAATGCTCCAGTTCAACACTGAGCAGCAAGAGGGGACCTGCAGATGGTGCAGCAAGAAAAAACCTGATCCAGTGTGGAAGGTAAAAAAGTTTTTTATTTTTTTTTTTATTTAAAAAGAGAATTAAAGTGGATGATTCATGCATTATCACATTGAAGTAAGCCCAGTTCTGAAAAGCATCAAGGTACTTTACTCCACGTTGTTAAGAAACAAGATCTGGTGTAAGGAATCAGAGAGTTGTAATCTTTTCCAAATGGAAAGTTCAAGTCATAATAACGCCTTGTGTCAATATTTGATGTGTAGGAGTCTATGTGACATTATTCCTTGCAATCACAGTAATGGATTAGTATTTTTCATGTTGCAAATTTTTCATGTTGAAAATATAGCTCTAGCTCTTCAGTATTTTTTAATTAACTGGGATTTTTTTAAATTTTTTTTTTTAATTCTCTAGCTTTCCTATGATCTGAGACTTTCAAAGCACTTGACATTTCCCAGGGCAAAGAAAAGAGCGTTTTCCTCTTAGAAATAATATTTTCCCTCCTTCACAAAAATCCACCTACATTTGGTCCAGTTAAAAGCTTCTGAAAGTAGTCTGCACACGCTCAGTAGGTTTGGTGAGGCATAATCTCTAAAATCCTCCCTCCCCGGACCTAACAACATGGTGTACACACCTCTGCTCTGAAAATAACCTGAGTATATGGGCAACAAACAAGATCCTCTTTAGTGAGTGCTACCTGCTGCTCCAGCCAAGTGGGTAACCTCTCTCTGCTCTGAATCAGGATTCACCCACTGCTGCAGGCTGACAGGGCCACCAGTGTGTCCAAGCGACAGATGAACATAGAGATTCCAGCCCTCATCGAACTTTTCATGTTTTATCAAAGTGCATATGAGGAGGAAATTCACTCGAGATCTATATTGGAAGATTGCTGGCAAGGCAGTAAAGGCAAGAAATACCAACTCAAGAAATAAAAGAATTACCGTGCCTCTGCATTATGGAACAGTATGTCATTGTATGATTTTATGCTATTTTCTCAAAGTTGTCCTTCACAGCACAGATGGATCTTCAACTGTGCAGAGTGTTGTCATCTACTCAGCACAGTGTTATCATTAGTTACCGTGTAGTCAGTGTTTTATTCTCGCCTCGTTTCATGGCCCCAAACCTCTCTCCTAAACTCTTTTCAAATCCTGCCCTGAAGAGAGGATGATTAATATCGTCATAGTCATGATGCTCGTAAGAACTTTACTAATGCCAGTCAATTAATTTTCACCACACCTGTGACTTCTGGCATTTTATAATCACTGCTTTATGTGGGTGACCTGAGACACACAGACAAAGGTGAGAAAGTGGCAGTCACCCAATTACAACATCTACTGCTCGATTTCCCAACTGCTTGAATTCCAAACTCCACTTCTGTTGATCTAATTTTCAGCACTGTGTACACAACACTTGTATAAATTAGACTCAAGACTCCAGTCAAATACTTAGCTTGTCAGTAACATACAATTAGTGACTGTTTAGGAGGCAATTAATTAAATAACTTGACATGAATTATCCAAGTTTTTTGTGGCAAAAATAGGTGTAAGTCTATAGTTTCATAGGTAGAGCTATTCCTTTAATCATGAGCCTCTATCCCATTCTTCCTTCATTCTTCTTCCTCACTCCATACCCACCTTCTCAACTTCTTAAACAAACCTGCAGACCAGGCAGGGACACCCTTGCAGGTGCTACCATGGCCTCAGTACCACGCTACTTTTTGTCACCAGCTACTCATCTCGTGTTTCTACTCGGCTGTGGATGCAAGGACACATGACCTGCAGGGATGTCTGATGACATATTTCACTCTCAAAATCTGCCCCTCTCAGACCTGCTGCTCACGTACACCATGAACCACACAGGTCAGGGCTGGAAGGAAGCTGAAGAGATCCTTCCCCAAGCTGCCTGGGCACACAGATGTTTGTCTAACCTTAAACCAGGAATTCTCTCCAGTGAACTAATTCCTGTGTTAAGATATCATTACTATTGCAACACTTTTTCTCCAAATTTTCTGCCAAAATTGTTGGTCCTTCAGCTTAAATTCCAGCCTCCAGTGCTGACTGGGTGAGGGAGGGCTCCCATGAGGAACATGGAAACTGTCCTATAATTAAAGTTTATCATGCACTCAAGGAAAGAAAGAAAGATTGCATAGGTAACCTGAGCTCCAGCAATTTCTATACTTTTTTAATAGAAAAATACATTCGTATAGTGTGTGTATATATACATGTAATATATAACATATGTGAATACAGTATATTTGAAATCAAAATAGTGTTTCCTTAGTACACAGTAACATACAACAGGGAATAACATATATTGTGGATACTTTTAGATTTTGAAGAATTTTTTGTTTTCCTCAATATTTAACTTTTTACTTCAAAATATTATAAAAGCTAATACAAAAACAGTCAAAAAAGATGAAGAATTAGCATTCTTTATCTTGAGCTTGGGAACTTAAAAGTAAAAACTACCTTTTCTACTGATGTAGAGCAGCCTGATCTAGTGGAAAGTGCTCCTGCCCATGGCAAAGAGGGTCGAAACTTGATGATTTTTAAGGTCCCTTCTAATCCAAACTGTTCAGTGGTTCTATATAAATCAATCTTACAGCAGCAGCAGCAGCAGCCGCCAGCTTATTTAAGCCAATTTTCAAGATACAAATTATTGCAGACTACAAACTAAACACTATGTCTTTGTTTCATGTGAAATGGCATAGTAGCAGTTGATGGGAAAGAAAAACTTTATTCCAAATGCATGTCCTCCTCTTTAGGATTCTCTGTGAAGACTCCAATTCCAAGAGGTGATAAATGACATTTAGCACTGGCCCGCATCAGTAGCTCTAGCTGTGCAGCAGCAGACTACTTTTTATCATTTTGACTACAGATGGAGGACGTCCAGTTTTCCCTTCCCTTCCCTATTAACTGAGAATATACAGTCCTGACCAAGAATGTGGACTGTGGACACTTTCCCAATTGCTGAGGAGGAATTAATTATCCAGTCCAGAGTACTGAAGACATTTAGCAAAAATGTCTGCCTTTTTATCTATTTCTCTCCTTGGAGTGTTTTAACACCTGACATGCATCAGGAATCATTCACAAAATACATAAAAAAATAAAATACAAGAAAAATATCCACACATTTCTGCAATGTGCCTTAGAGCACATTTCAGATTTGTCAGACCTCTTTAAATATGTCATTGAAAATAGGTTGAATTAAGGGGTCAGATCTAAAATGTCTGTATAGGGCATCTGAGAACAGGCCGGGTGAAAACAGGCTGGTCACAGAAATTTTAAGTACAATTAAAAATAAGCCCTCATTCTGTCTTTCTGTATTTCTCTTTACACCAGGAAATTTAGCTTGGGAGCACAGATACTCTCTGACATTTTGAAATTTAATCCCAAATGAGATTCCCGTCAGAAATGCAGCCCCATGAAAATAATGAGATCCAATCAAATGCAAAAGGTGTGACCTAAAATATCAAAATAAAAATGTTGCTATGAACTCTGTTGGAGAGAATGCAGTAGGAAGTGGCCATCAGACCACAGCTTGATAAGTGTAGCAGACAACAAGTAAGCAAAGGCATTGGATTGGAGAAACCGAGTGAAGGTGGTGTAATGAGAGGAGATTAAATGTGGTCAAGTGTGGAAAAACCCAGGGACATTGCAACAGGGTTTCTGAAAGAGGGAATACAAATGGATATTAAAAACATGATGAAACTTTTTGATATACAGAGACACCTTAATGGCATTTTTATCTCAACAATTTCAAGAGGTTCCCCTTAAAGAAAGCCTAAAGCGTATGTCTGAAAAGTAAGTGCAAACATTCGAAAACATGAAAGGAAATTGGTAACTCTCCTCCAATATTGATCAGCTGGGCTGGGATTCCTGTGGGCAAATGAAGATGTGCATCTTTTAAATCCCTGGTCCTGAGCTACTTTCTTTAGCAAAGATAAGCTGGTACTTCTAAGATTCTCCTTATCTCATCCTAAGGCAGACATCTGAAACAGGTCACATGGATCACCCTGTAAAAATGTCAATGCATTTCTGCTGGCCCGTCAGCCTAAGATGTCCATAATCTACAACTCTCAAGTAAGGTAAGTTGAACCCCACTCAAAGTACCCATTGTTCTCATGTGAATGTTATGAAACCCTTGCTGACTTGTCAAGAAATGCAAACAAATTTTCATGGGGACTCACCCTGAGGGTTATTGACCGAGGTGGTTTCTGAGGAGGATCTTCGTGAAGCCTGTCTCCCAGAGATGCCAGAACACGCTTCCGGTGGCCAATCAAGCTAATTTTTAAGACCTGAAATAATATCAAAAATACATCATTAAAAGAGCACATGGCAACCATTACATGAAGATCCATTCAGACTGAAGACATTTTCTGTTTAAACCTTGTAACAAGTCAGTCCTCTAGACAGGCTGAGCAGACAGGGAGCTGTGCAAAGCAAACAACCAGCAGAGAAAAGGAGAAGTGAGATAAGAGGAAAAACATTGTAAAATGAAAAAAGAAACTAGAGCATATATAGGTGTGGAAAACTGAAAAAAACAGGCTCAAACATGAGCAAAGAGGAGACAAAAATGAAATGAGAAGGCAGAAGATCAAAAAGAAAAAAAGGGAAGGGGATGAGAAGACTGGAGAAGGAAATGCAAAGGTGCATACAAACAGTGAGTGATGAGGATTAAAGTAATTAATGGGATGGATGAGGAAAAGAGTGAGAAACAGCCAGTGAATGCTTAGAGGAGGTAAAAAGGGGAAAAAAGGGATTGTACAAAGACTAAATGTTACCACTTTTAAATCTATTCACCATGCCTTTCCCAGTGCTGCTAGGAAAGGGTTAAAATTGCAAAATTTGGCAGAGGAGGAGGGAATAGTTTCTCTCAAAGTGACCTTGCAGCTGGGAATCCTAAAATTATTGGTGTGGGAAAACTCAATTTATTATGTCTAACGTTGTCCTCCTCTGCCTGTTTTGAGAAGTGGAAGTCCTGTGGAGAGATAACCCGCTCTCACAGACATGGGGGAAGCCTTGCATTATAGAGAGGCAGGAGCCCTTCCCTCCTGCCAGCTAGAATGGAGCCATGTCCCTGTCCCTCTGTCACCTGGTGTGGTTAGCAAGGGAATGAAATAAATCTACCCTTTGCATTTTGGTTGTGGTTTGAGGGTTGTCCTTGGTTACCTGTATGTGTAGGTTCACATACAGGAGATTTGGTAATCTCCAAATATGTCATACAGTTTGTGCTATTATGAAGATTCATCCTTGTGTAAGAAACACTGGGTGGACAAATTTTACCCTGGAGTTTTATTACGCTTTTTATGAGACACAAAATCTCTGTTGCACAAAAACGTGTCCATCAGTGGATACATTCAGACACCTCGTGCTTGTCCAAACTCCAAGAACACTGCCAAAAAAAGTTGCCCCAAATTTACAGCAACTACTCCTCATTTTTATTTTTGTGTGTCCCTAACTCGTACAAAACCACCACTGCTCTCAGGAAAAGTGAGAGAGCAGAAGCAGTGAGTTGGAAATTTAAAGTATTAGTGGGAAAAATAACATATTTCAAAGCTATTCTTTAATGGCTACAACGGCTGTAGTGGAAAGAGTGTATAGCAGCACTAATTGTAGCAGCAAAGCCTCTGCTCTGCAAACAGCAGTGTCCTTACATAACTCCTCCAGACTGTACATGTGGTTTCATACTCCGGAGCTGCCTCCAATCCCTCTCAGAAAACAGTACTTCCCACTATATTTAGGACCACCGTGTGTCAACACCCTTCAGTTGAGAGGAAGTTCTTGCTCAACCTAGAAAAAGTAATAGTCCCCAAAAAAACCTGGAAATGCTACATCTTTAGTGAACAATTACCTCAGCTTAAGCGGCAGCACTGAGAGTTACAATTCATGAGAACATCACTACCCAAACCCCAGCAACTCCCCTGCTACATCTCTAGGATCCAGCATCTCAAAATATGGTACAGGAACATGCTGTCATTATTCTGGTATCCATGCCTATCCATCCATTATCCTGCCTATCCACGTGCACGTGAATCCATCCACATTTCCTCTGTTAGACGTCTTTGTGCTGATACTGTTGAACATCAATAACCTCTTTTCTGCCTGCATCTCCAAAGTGATGGGCTATGACATCAAGCAGATGGAGGCCTTCCTCTGAGAGGCAGCTTACAGGGGTGTTGCAGACCCTGCAGCTCAGCAGGGAACGCAAGCTGCAGTCCCACAAAGCACCCTGCTATGTGCTATCCTTTCAGTCTAAATCTAGAGAAGCACGAGTGAAGCTGAGATAATGCAGCACACAGAGAAATGCCTGAGGCATGCAGGAGACTTAGTTATGTATTCAGTTTACACTGAGTGTTAAACAGAAGGGTGCACAGTTTATCTCTGTATTTAACTATATGAAACACGTGAATGAACTACAGCTGCTTTAAACATTACTCAAGTAATGCACTTCAGTGAACTTGCTTCTTTCATAATGCTTCCCCATCAACAAGATTATTTATCCTGAGATTTTTAAGCCAAGCTAAAGTTCTTTGGGTTGTTTCAAGGTCCTCAGCACTCTGACTGCCTTATTAGCTATATCAAACCACACAAAGCTATTCTCTTTGACTTCACAGGGAGAGAAAAGGACATGAGTCTTGAGGGACTGCACACATAAGAGATCAGCAGACGGGTCTCAATGACTGAATTATTTCAAAAACTGTTCTCAATTTGAAAGTAATACAGATCTTTAAATACCATAGGCACTGCTAAGCTTACTCCACATTTCGTTTTTCTATTATAATGGTGGTTGCCCCAAATGTGAATGGGAGGAAGTTAATGATGCAACCTACAGAAACATATGGTCCTCAGGCACCAGGCAGCTGCATCCCAGAATCATCTGGAGCACATATTCCTTTAACTGAAGACAGCTGTATTCTTCTGGAAATGACTCCCTAGCCATTTCCTTACTTTGAAAACCTGTTTCTCAACTTACAAATGTAAAATACTGTTTTCTGAAACACTTCTATATTTGAGTTATGAGGGCTTAACAAACATCCTGAGACTCTGGAAACTCGTCCTGTGATGGATTATCCTTGACAGTATTTATAAAAAATGTCAAATATCACAAATATAGGTCAACAGTGTGGAACGGTACAACTGCCTAAAGCAGTACCATTGAAATGTGTTAATGTTGAAAGTCTTGCACTTAAACAGCCCACAAGTCAGCTTTCCTGGTATGTAATTTCTATAAATCAGGTGACAGTGAACACCACAACACTGAACTAACACTGAATAAGGACAGTCAACAGAGTGCACCTAAGTATCATGCAGCGAGGCATTTTGTCAAATGGACTGTAGCCCTCTTACTATACAACAATGAAATGGGTTTTGCAGTGTGGCTGCAGGAATCAGCAACAACGTGTCCTCAAACTGTTCAGAGTAGCTCAAGGCCCTCCACAGCATGTTATTTCATTACTGGGACAAAAGGGGGAAAAAAAAAAAAAAAAAAAAAAAAAAGCATGTACATGACATGCTTCTTTTCACACTGATGGCAGGATACCCGAGACAAAAATGATACTACTACATTTCATGTATTTGATGTTGTTTGTTGATTCAATTAAAAGAGAACGGGGCAAGTCGTTCATCCAAAGCATTGATACATGCACAAAAATTTAATCTTATTTTTACTCCTGTACTCTGCAATGATTAGCATACAAAATTAAATTCCACTAGGAAATGCAAGAAATCCACAAATATAACCAATGTAACACTTTGCATTTAGATCTCTGGCTTAGTTGACAGATGTTTGAAAAAACACACGTAGCCCCATAACTCCCTGATGACTGTGTATGTGCAAATGCTGGAATTAACAAGTTATTCCACCTAAAATGAGCATTATTTCTGCTATGTTCTCCTGCCTGATCTTTTCTCTAATTGAATAATAATATTCAATACTGTATGATTCTACTTTTTTTTCCCCAGAATATTAGAAACATTACTGAAATTCAAGACATTAATTCTCCTTCTTTTGGAATAATGTGAAAAAAATTTTTATGGGCTAAAGTTAGGATCATAATAGCACAAGAGGTCTAGACTAAATGTGTAGCAGCAATTGGACATTAGGAACCAGAGTACAGAGCTAAACCAGCTACAAAGTATAAAATTAAAGAGTGATCATAACAGTGCTTGTGATTCTCCAGTAGCAGCATCAGACAAATTCAAGAAAAAATTGTAAATGCAAGCCAAAAAGTGGGATCTTCCTATTTCTGCAAGAAAACAGCCCAAAACGCTTGCTAAAATCAATATTATTAACCATATTACTGCTGGTCATATTGGAATAAACTCTGAGATATCTGGAATTACAGATGAAGGGATAAATTTGATTATTGCCCCTCTTCTGCCACAACGTGGCCCCACAGGGCTAATCCTGAAACATGGCAGGGCCCAGAATACCCAGAATTCCCAGGAAGAGACCCCAGATAAACCATACAGCTCACCTGACCAACGGGATTGGTTTAATTGAAAATCTGAAAAAGGATTAAACATACTTATGGTATAAATTTTCAGTATCAATTTCACAGATCCTATCCATTGAACTGCTGTCAGTGTTAACAGCTAAAACAAACACAGAGACAAATAAAAAAAAGTCAAAAAACTCTATATTCTGCATACCAACCAAGATTACTTGGTGTAATGATTGGTATATTTTGAAAATTAAATAGGCCCAAGTCAGCTATGATACTTAAAGAGGGTAGGTTTAGATTAGATATTAAAAAGAAATCATTTACAGTGAGGATAGTGAGGCGCTGGAACAGGTTTCCCAGAGAAGTTGTGGATGTCCCACCCCTAGAAGTGCTCAAGGCCAGGCTGGACAGGGCTCTGAGTCACCTGAGCTAGCATCAGGTGGTCCCCATGGCAAGGTGTTTGGAACTGGGTGCTCTTCAAGGTCCCCTCCAACCCAAACCACTCTGTGATTCTATGAATGCCCAGTGGCTTTACAAACACCAGGCAAAGCCAAATCCAGTGAAGCCATATTAGACTTCTATTGCATTCTTCACACGGTTATACTTTATGCTCCTGCTTAGCACATGGCAACAGAGAAGCACCAAAGCACCCTGCTGGTCAGAGGCTTGCTGCAACTTCTCTGGTGTCCACAACTGCAGGGGGAGCTAGTGCTTATTATGCCTAGGAAAACACCTGTAAGATACTTATCATTTCATATCATATTGATTTCATAGCATAAAGATATGAAATATGCGTCACAATCCTCTGGAATTAATTACCCAACTGGAAAGAGATGTCAGTTGTCTTGATG